GTGGTATTATAAACCCCAGGCAAGGACTATAGGTCATGGTATTATTATCCCCCGGGTGAGGACCGTAGGCCACAATATTATTATCCCCTGAGCGAGGGTCGTAGGCCGCGGTATTATAATCCTCAGGCGAGAGCTACACTAAAGATGCCACAATTACTATATGTATGTTTTGCTCTGAATTCAGAGGCCTTTGGTGATGGCGCTTCATGCCGAGTGCGAAGATTGCGCCGTATTTGAAGACTTTTGCTGATTATAAGTGGCGATCAATTGCCAATATTGCAAGGATTTTGAATAGTGCATCCCATGTCATTAATTGCTATACCAAATGATGTAGACTTGCTAATCACAAATAAGTGGAAAGTTGAAAAAAAATAATTGCACCAACGGTAGAGCATTAAAAAATAGCATTGCGCCATTGTAAGGAGCCATTTGTAATGAATTACTGAGTGGATATTGGAAGCATATTTGAAGCAGATATTTGTTATGTTGTTGTTTTGTGTTTTGTTTGACGTATACTTGTTAAGCTGATTCAAGTTGATTTCTTGCCCTTGAGCTAGTATGAATTATGGTTGTGCCTGATTTCTTACGCTTGAGCTAGTATGAATTATGGTTGTGCCGAATCGGAGTAAGCTAGTCTTGCATTGTATACAACATATATTAGCCCCATTGCTTTCGAATAATAGTTGTTAGTTGGAATGAATGCAGATTGGACATTGGCCAAAAGTGCCGAGAAGTAAGCTGAGAACAAATTGTTGAAGCGGATTCCTTGCCACAATGCTTTCGAATAACAATTGTTATTCGGAAGGAATCATAATGGATTCGTGCCAAAATCGCCGAGGATCAGTCTGCGATGTGCCAAGGCAGGTTCGGTTGTGGTGACAAATGATGCGGACTGAGATTGGAAAGCGCCAAATAAGTTGTAGTGGTTGAATTCGGCATTAAGCAAACTCCATGTGTGGCGGCAAAAATGTTGTTTGAAATAGGATATGTGGCATCGCATATAAAATTTACAAATTTTTTGTATGGAATGTGCAAAATCAGACCATATAGATGTGTTCAAAAGGCTCTAAATAGTTGCAATATTAGATCGTTGGAATTGGATTCCTGATGACATAATTTGAGCCAAAACGGATTTGATGGCGCAAATCAGTTGAGAATCGTGCTTCGCGAACCACTGGATAATTTATCCTATACATGCTGAGTTGGCCAAAAAACATAAGTAAAGTTGTTAGTAGCAAGACTTGAACCCTCGAATCAGGATCCCCTCCTTGCATTTTCTCCTTACATTTCCTAGTTACAAGCCCATTGGGCCCACTTTTAGACCCAATTTTGATAATCCGAACCGTTCATATTTTAAGATTTATTCAGTATATCATACCTATAAAAAATCAAGTTGATCAGATATCAGAAAGCATGCGTTCAAAAACTCGAACTAAAAACTATTTTTTTAAAGAATTTAATAAACAATTTTACGAACACATGCTTTCTGATATCCGATTAACTTGATTTTTTACAGGTATGATATACTGAATAAATCTTAAAATATGAACAGTTTGGATTATCAAAATTGGACCTAAAAGTGGGCCCAATGGCCCTGCAAGTAGGAAATGCAAGGAGGGGATCTTGATTCTTGAACCCTCACCCTTGGGAATAAAGAATACAGCACTGATTGAGTGCTCTAATTTTGGAGCACTAATGCCAGCTCTAATGAGCTAGCAATGCAAGAAAAAAAAAACAAAACAAAACAAAGGCCAAACTATCACATCAAGATAGGACACATAGCAATGCCACCTCATTAGTACAGCTTTAGAGCTGCTACTTTAGTGGTCCCAAACATTATTCATAAAGAATAAGACTAAACCACTTTGCCACAACAAATCCTTATGTTTGTATTTTACAAGTTATCTATATGAACGTGACTATTATTCGGTGATAACGGGATGGAACTTCACCGCCAAGCACTGAATAATTTCTTATGTTGTCCAACGCTGGTCATTTTCTCCGGCAACATAGTGGAATTGCTCGGCAAGCTTCGACTAGCTCAGCAAACTTTGACTAGCTCGTACGGCTTCCTTTTAGCTCTGAATTTGACGTGGTTGGTTGTGTTGGACTCGTCTTAATGAATACTTTACACTGGTATGTTCAAAACTTGATTTTGATAGCTTCAAAAATTTTAGTTTTCTAAAAATGTGATTCGATTCGCAACTATCGACAGACTTTGGTTAAATTTTGGCTCTCTTGGTTGGTACGTCTGGACTCCTCTAGTCAGCACAAACCTTCTGGTATATTTAGATCTTGAGATTGAAACCTCCAAAATCTTGGACCAATTTGAAGTTGAGATGCTGGTTCTATGCCAATATGCCTTCACGGTTGTAGCCAACATATACTTGCACCGTTAAGTGATAAATATCATTGTCGATTATGGTGCCATGCATCCAAATACAGTTGAGCGGCTGTGAAAATTCAACAAGTTGGTATCCAAATCACTTATGTGTGTCCGAGTAATGTTTCCGAGTAAGCAATGTTGGCCGAATAATGTTGCCAAGACAGTAGCGCCGAGCAATATTGCTACACTTCTGAGAATTAAATCATGAGATTATTATAGAAGAGATAGATGAATTAATAATTGTAAATGTACTTGAACTATTGTTTGTTTATTTTTTATTTTTGATTTATTTATTTATTATTTTTTTCATTTTTTTTTTTTTTTTTTTGAAGATGACAAATGGTGAGAAGCTAAATGCAAAAGAAAATCAAGTTTTGGGTCCTGCCCCAGGTAGTGGTTGATGGCCGAAAGATGAATGAATGATTGGTGAAAATGGATGATTGTGGCCTATATCTAGGAGCCTATTGTTAAAATTGCACGTTGATCGAATACGATTTGACCGATGATCTATTATTTAATGTTCCCGATTGGCCGATTTATTGATCCCAATACGAGACTCAGAATTTGCAAAATTAGACCCTGAAAATGGATTCTACACGGCAAAAAATGCGAGGGTAGACATCCCCGAAGTTATTGGACCACCCGATGAATCCGAACAAGCTAAAATGCAATGTAGCACTATAAGCCGAAAAACGCACAATAAATCCTTATGTCATCTTCATGCACCACCTTGGTGCAGAACTTCGTGAAAGGCATAATTCTTTAGGTTCAAACTCCTCACTTTGAGCCCTGATATCTCCTTCGTCTTAAGTTCGATTCACCTCATTTTTGCGATGTTGCTTTCAGCTTGAGGCCTAGTGTTCATTCCATAATTCATACTCCTCATTCTGCCACTGCTTGAATGTTGTTGCACCTCCTAAATTTTACCAAAAATAAGACGGTTTGGCTATTTTTCGTGTGTTTTCTTTTTCTTTTTCTTTTTTTGGTTTGGCTCTTGTCCTCGACTAAAGTGTGGTCGGCCAAAGAATGTCCTTGGTGGGTGAATGTGCTCGGAAAAAGAGCTTGGTGGTTCACATTGCTGAATATGCTCTCGGCGGTGAATAATTGGGGTCGTTTTCGTTGCCAAAGAATAGAGCTCGAGTTATACATATGCCGAGTAACTTTGAAGCTTTGCCGAGCAATTTGCTATGAGTCGCGGCACTGCCGAAATGCATATGTGTGGGCTCTGACACAAGATATATATGTAAAGCTTCCGAAAAACCTTGTTAGGTTGCCGAATAGCTCCATTGTTGGTTTGTCGAGCAATCTTTGCTGAAAAACCTGTAATACTAGTGTAAACCCAACTAATTCAATACAAAGTTGAGAAACTTCAGTGGTTTGGCCGAAGAATGTTGTGTTCCGCTGTCTTTAGCAAAATTATCAAGTAGGTGGCATCAGTTCTATACTGAAGTAATTGAGTCGACAACCTTGTTTTTGTTTTTCGCTTGCCAGCAATTCTTGGTTGGCCTCCTCGTTGGGTTTGTCTTGCTGAGACATTTAGAAGGAAAATCGTCTTGGCTTTTTGATATGTTGAAACACATGGTCGGCGACGACTCCACCTTTGGCTTGCCAAAAATTAAAGATTGCCGATAATAGCACTAGAGAGAGAAAGTCGTGGTTGGCCTATAATTTCTGGTATGTGAGCCGAACAAACAAGTCCAATAAAGAGACTGTTGCTGAGTTATTCGATAGGCAAACCGAATAAAGTACCGAATTAAATGGGTCAGTTACTCCTCTTTTCGATTTCGCTAAGAGGACAATGTTTCCGAACATCTCGATTAACAGACCAGGGACACGCTTTCACTTTTTTCTCAGCAACCTGTACTATCTTGCTGTCCAAAAGACTTTTACAGAGAGAGACCCAACTTTGGATTCCATAGAACTTTTTTTTGATCAGCGAAGAAAAAGGAACTATTATTGATGAATACAGAATAAAGGAATACATCAATAAAGAAGACGAGGAAGAGGGTGCAAAGAGCATCATAGCGAAACAAAACAATCCCAACTAGGTTGGCACTATTGAGAACGCCCAATCATATGCTAGCACACCGCCAAAAGATGGTGAGTTGGTGAGAAACCAACCACAAACAACAAACTCACACCAAAGAACAACCAAACCTAAGACATGCCAAATCCAACAGATAGGAATCCTAGCACCAGCCAAACAGCAAAATAAAACCGACAATAAGCCCTCTGCTGCAGCATCCAGACAGCAAACCACACACACTGACAGAGAGCATATGACATTCAGAGGGCCTCTGCACTGCCTTCACAGTCCAGAACCTAGCTAATACATACCACTCTGCCACCAATCTGCATACATACCAATCTGCTAACCCATCTGCTACCAATCGCACTACTACCAATCAGCAGAGGGTGATCTTTTCTTCCTTGTTTCCATCAGCAATTCATAACAGCTAACCAGCAGAGGATGGACTTAACCTCACAGCAATGCAAGATTATTAAACAGAGGCACACAGAGGCACACAGCCACCCCCCTGGAGGCCAGAAACTCCACCCTACTGCTGCTAGGCAGTAAGACACAGCAACAGACCAAGGCAGATTCTAGAACACTTTAGTAAGGAGCACCTGCAATGTTAGACTGAAGGACACTTCTGTTGCCTGGCCAACTCTGAACTGCCATGACCACCTGGCCAACTCTGAACTGTCATGACCACCAATCATATCAACAGCCAACCAACCAAATGAACACTTTTTCACTCAACCTCCATTTCTAATGCAGAACTTCACCTGTGGCAGGTTAAAAACCAAGTCATTAATAGAAAACTCCACCTGGGTTGGTGAGGCTTTGAGCCACATAGCTACACGAACCTTCACTATTTCACACAGGTCTTCCAAGTTTGGTTGAGAGCCATTAAAGATGCAATCATTTCGATGCTTCCATGTAGACCGCAGGACAGCCAGAGGAAGAACCTTCCAAATTTTCTTTTCCAACTTCTTCAATCTACAACCATCCCACCAATTCAACAGTCCATTCACTGAACCTGGTAGCACCCATTGCAAACCCCACCATCGGACAATGTTGGACCAAAGCAACCAAACGAAAGGACAGTACAATAGAATATGTTCCACAGTTTCAATCTCATTGTGGCAGAAGACACAATCCAGATTTGCATTCCCTGTTAGAATACCAATTCTATGAAGGAAACTCGAAGTTTTAATCTTACCCAGCCAAGCCATCCACCCAAAACATTGAACTTTTGGAGGAGCGAAATTATTCCAAATTGAAGCAGTCACAGGTAGTATAGGCCCCAGATGTGATTCACCCCAAAGATATACTGAGGAGACAGAGAAAGTATTAGATGGGTCTGCACCCCATATGAGCTCATCAGATCTGGAACTGCACAGAATTGGTGCAGAATTCAGCAAATGAAAAAGTCTGTTAGCTTCTTCCTTCTCCCATACCAACAGAGGTCTTCTGAAGTCCATGTTCCAGCCACCATTCTCTTCCCTTTTTTAGAAAAACACCCTTACCACACCATTTTTATCATTAGATAAGGAAAAGAGCCTTGGGAATTCCTCCATTAGGCATACATTACGCACCCACTTGTCTCTCCAAAATCGAGCTCTCCTCTCATCCCCCAGAACAATTTGAGCATTAGAAATATAAAAGTGGTGCAGCTCTGGATTGGACATTACAGCTTGAATAATATCCGACCAGATCTTGGATTCTCTGCCTATTAACTGTGGTGTTCATCTTTCATCCAATGACACATACTTGGAGCAGATCACTTCCTTCCAAAGGGATTTATTCTCTACACCAAATCTCCACCACCATTTCAGCAAGAGACATTGATTGAAACTTTTTATCCTCCTCAACCCTAACCCACCTAAATTCTTATTTTTAGAAACCACCTCCCACCGGACCATATGTATTTTCCTTCTAAGATCGGATCCACCCCAAAGAAATGCAGATTGTATTCTCTCAATTTCCTTTGCCACTCCAGCAGGGATTCTAAACAGTGAAAGATAATAGATGGGCATATTAGACATAACCGATTTAATAAGAGTTAAGCGCCCAGCAAAAGATAACAACCTTCTCTTCCATGTAGACAATTTTTGTTTGAACTTATCAAGAACAGGTTTCCAAGTGCTCCTCCTGCTGGGATTTGCCCCCAAAGGAAGCCCCAAGTATTTTAGAGGCAATTTATGGTGGCAACAATTTAAAGAAGAAGCAAACTCCTGCATCGAACCGTCATCTACCCCAATCCCACAGATAACACTCTTGTGATAATTAATTCTCAGACTTGATACAATCTCAAAGCATCTTAGAATTCTTTTAATGTTGCCCACCTCCTCTTTATCCGCATTACAGAACAAAATCGTATCATCCGCAAATTGCAAGTGCGTGATTCTCAACCCGCTAGAGCCCACCACCGCCCCTTGAATTAGGCCCAGCTGTATAGCTCTGCTCAGCAAAATATTAAGACCTTCTGCTACAATGTTGAATAGGAATGGTGACAATGGGTCTCCTTGCCTCAGGCCTCTTTGTGGACAAAACTCAGATGTTGGTGACCCGTTCACCAAAACGGATATCTTAGCTGAGGAAACACAAGTTTTCATCCATTGTACCCAACGCGTTCCAAACCCAAACTTTGCTAACATGTCGAATAAAAACTCCCAATTAATAGAATCATAAGCCTTTTCAAAATCCAATTTAAGCACCAAGCCTTTTCTATTAGATCTTTTCCAACCATCCACTATTTCATTGGCTATCAAAATACCATCTAATATATTTCTTCCCCCCAAAAAAGCTGACTGAGCTTCGCCAATAATCTTAGGCATTACCTGCTTCATCCTGTTCGCTAGCACTTTAGCAACAATTTTATACAAGGAGCCAATCAAGCTAATAGGCCTATAATCATTCAAACAAGAAGGGCTTAAAACTTTGGGGATCAGAGCTATAAACGAGCTATTTAGCCCACAAACGAGCTTTGCATTCTGATGAAAATCGCTCATAAATTTTAGCACATCAACCCTCACAATTTTCCAATACTTTTTGAAAAATGACAAATTAAACCCATCAGGGCCAGGTGCCTTATTACCATTACAACACTTGATAACATTTTTAATCTCCTGCTCTGTAAACTCTGCCTCCAATTGTGCCACAACTTGAGCACCCCCTATGTTCTTGAAATGGCCAGCCAATTTGGGACGGACCTTCCAATTTTCTGAAAAAAGCTTCATAAAATGAATCTTAACGGCCTCCCTAATTGCCAAAGGCTCCTCTAGCATTGGACCATTTACAGCAATTGAACACAAAGAATTTCTACTATTTCTGCTACATGCCATAATATGGAAGAACCTTGTATTTTTATCCCCTTTAGATGCCCAATTCATTCGAGATTTTTGTAGCCAAATCCACTCCAACATTTTACGTAACCTCCACACTTCACCCCGCACTTCCTTTCTTCTATACAGTTCTGTATCAAGTAGTGGTCTATCCTCAGCTAACAAATCAAGAGCATGAGCCTCATCTTCTACACTTTTCAATTTTGATTCAATCTTACCAACACCGCAACATTCCACTGTTTGAGGACCTGTTTCAGTGCTTTAAACTTCATAAGACATTTAAACCCTGCCCATCCATCCACAGCAGATTCCGACCAACTTTGTTGAACACAAGATAAAAATTTGGGATGTAGAAGCCAGGCATTGAGGAACCTAAAAGGCTTCGGGCCCCAATCCCTATCATCCTCCATCAAAATAATAGGGCAATGATCGGACAGAAATCTAGGAAGCCCCCATAGTTTAAAGGAAAAATTCTGCACCCACTCATAGTTGAGAAGAAATCGATCAATTCTGCTCCATTTCTCTCTAACTTGAGAATTGCACCAAGTAAACTTCTTCCCTAACATAGGAATGTCTATCAACTCGAGTTGTGCAATCATATTATTAAAGTCCCTCATCCCACGATCCCTTCTCGAACACCCAATTCTTTCGGAGATGTTCTTAATTTCATTAAAGTCACCCCCCATACAACATGGCCCCAAGAAATTTGATTTCAACCTCACTAACACATCCCAAGTCTCTTTTCTTTTAGCCACCTCGTTAGAACCATAAACGTTAATAATAACACAATCAAAACTGGAAAATAATGTACCTGATAAAAGGATGAAATTCTGGGTACTGCAGCAATCCTTCAGGAAAAACACCTCAGGGTTCCAAATACATAGTAGCCCTCCAGCTTGACCAATCACGTCTACTGCCATGAAATCAAATTGCTCCCCAGGCCACATAGACCTAACCAAGGTAGAATCAACTACTGCCTTCTTGGTTTCTTGTAATAGCACAATATCCACTTTTCTCTCTGCAAGACTCTTCTTTATTTGTCTCCTCTTTTCAGGCCTTCCAATTCCCCTCACATTCCATGATAGTATCTTCATAAGCATATGAAAACCCTCTACCCAGCCGATCGTTTTAATCTAACTCGCATCCCCTTCACCCGGCCTTGCTCTTTGTTGGTCTTAAGCTTCAAGATCATGCAATTTACTAAGCACCTCCTCTTCTTTGCCTTCACACTCAAGGCCGAGGGCTTTGCCTATTTGAATTGAAGCTTCCGCCTCCGTCAATAATCTTCTTCCACTACTATTTCCGCTCGCCATTGATAGTGAGATGGCCGCTACCGCCGACCTGAACACTACTCCTTTACTCAAATTCAATGAAGATGCCCCCACTCCCGTGGAAATATCAAATTTCCTTTTCATTTGCTGCTTCTGAAACTATTTTGTTGAGGCTGGAAGTGCTTTTCCTTTCATTTTTTCCTTCTTTGCTGGACAGACGGGTGCTGTTGCATTATGGGCTAAAGAACTCTTAGAACCAACAGTATTACGATTAACACACTGCTCAAGCCCTTCAGGAGAAGTAATTGGGTCTTGGGAATTAGACTTGCCAAGGTGAACTAGCCCCTCAGTTATTTGGGTCGACCCAACCAATCCACCTGCCATTTGGGCCCCATCAAGAGCCATTTCAAGGTGAATACCCAGCCTATTATTTCCAGACCCACTTAAACTTCTAATGAACCCAGGAGTATATACGTCACCATCTACCCTACGCCTGACACTATCATCACACTGCTTGCAGCTCATCCCTACCTCTGCCAATTGATTTACGCGTGCGCCACCTTCCGTTGACATTTCCTTCATCATATCAGTTTCAGCTACCCCTGAGACATCTCTCAGTCTATCCTTCCCATCCAGTTCAGCTGCAAGAATAGGTGATACAATAGTTCCCACTCCAGCCACATCACCCCGTAAATCTGACTTCTTGCCCAGCTAGACCTCCACATCATCCCGTAGTTCTGACTGTTTGTCCATCTGGACCTCCACATCATCATCTTCTTCCCCATACCTGCTGCTTTTGTCCGTGATCTGGGCCTCTGCACTTGCCTCTGAAAATGACCCCACTCCATTCTTCCCTTTATTGGATTGACATACACATTGATCCTGCAAAGTTTTAGAAGCTATAATTTGTTCCTCACACACTCGCACAGGATATAGTGTTCCTTTGCACTCCAGATTAATGGTGTGATTAATAGAATCCATACTAGTCGTGGCTATCCTCACTTTACCACAGTGGAGGGAGTTGAGCCGAATAGTATCATCATCTATAGCATCCACTGTACCCCAGATCTTGCCAATGCTGCTAAATGTAGAGAAACTCCACAGATTTAGTGGAACTCCATAACAACTTAGCCAAGCATATCTTTCTTGTTCGAGCACCAGCCCCTGCCGCCATACCTGAGCTGATTCACACCATGCGTTAAGCCACTCTTGCATTTCCTGAAATTTGACGTTCATATCTTCAACTGAGGTGAAGGTTAGAACCATATCTCTTCCCCCACCCAGTCTCACCTTAACATCCCCAAAGCCTTGCCTTACTATTTCCTTCTTAAACTCAACCACTGATAATGATGGTTTTAATCTTACTACTACGCTTTCGTACAACCAACCATTACCTTCCTCAACAACATGAATAGTTCGGATAGCAGCAGTTTGGGTACCTTTTCCTCTCACAACCTCAGCAAAGGACCTGGTCCTTTGACATCCAGCAGTAACCCTAAGACTGTCATTTGTAGCCATTCTTGTATGTGGTACTTGTTTCGACCTGGGCTTCGGACCAAACACCTTTTCAAACTCCGCCATTTTGACCTTCAATGCTCTGTCATCACACCAAAGCCCATGTGCTTTTTGTACTGCCACGTCCGCTGCTACAGAGCAATTGTAGCGTACAAAGCCAAAACGAGATCGTGTCATCCTTCTTCGCTTTTTTGGAATAAAAGCATCCATGACTACCCCATAGTTGGAGAAGAGATTGTATAACCCTCTAGTCCCCATAGCTTCTGGAATATTGTCCACGAAAATAGAGTATATGGCTGCGTCTGCCCTACTGCTCCACACTTCCCTGCCACCATGACGACGGACCACTGGTTGCCATCCACCTCCATCATTCCCATAACCATGTTGTTTGCCTTCTCGGGACATTTTGGCATGTATCTAACTCTATGATATGTGTCCAGCAAGTTGGAAAGGTGCCAACAAACTCTTTCTTGTTCTCCAACCAAGCTAAAATGTCTATTATGGAATATACTTTGATATATTGTAGGCGTCAAATACAAATGTAGCTAGGCATTTGTTAAATATTGCGACGAAGACTGAATTGTATTTAATAATGTCTATGGAAAGTGAGGATAATGAGAGTACATGTATATCTCAAGAATCAATTTTAAAGTAAACTCCTGTGAGGCAATAAATAAATAAACAATCCTAGGGGTGGGTTTGGCCAAGCAACCCTTTTGATGATGCTGAAAAGAAGCTCTCACAAATAAAAGTGTGAAACCCATTTTTAGAGAGAGAAAATGAAGATGCAAAAGTAAATTCATGTAACGCCCCAACTCTTATTAATCGAAATCATTACCAAATCCGTACATTATTATCATTATTTTAAAAGATAGCATCCATATAGGAACAAGTATAAAATAAATAGTAACATTTTCTCACGACAATAATATGATTATAGATAAGACATAGTTCAATGCCCTAAGGCTTAGATTGAAAAACAACAAACAAAAAAAAAAACAAAAAAACAAAAAAAAAAACAAAAAGGGTTTACCCTTATACAATACAAGGCTCTCGACCAACAATTATAAAGGTCCCGTGGCCAAAAAAGTAAAAGCCATCGGGTAAGAGCATTATACTTAATCGATGATGCTTTTTTGTTTTTTATTTTGTTTTGTTTTGTTCTTTTCTTTTCTTTTTTTTATTCTCTTTTTTTTTTTTTCTTTTTTTTTTTTTTTTTTTTTTTTTTTTTTTTTTTTGCTTTAAAAATGCTGTAGCAGCAGCAGCCAATAGGTAGTTGAACCAGCTACATTATTTGCAGCAACATTCACACTGTGGCAGCAACAACCAATAGGCAGTTGCACCAACTGCATTAATGTGCAGCAACAGTCACGCTGAAGCAGCAGCAGCCAACAGGCAGTTGCACCAGCTACATTATTGTGTAGCAACATTCACGCTGTAGCAAAATTTACCATTACTTTACGCAGCCAAACAGTAGTAGCCACACACAGTGGCCAACAACACTAGTAACAGAAGCCACAACCAGCACCATTTATGCCTTAGTTATTAGCAATGTTTGTAATTTGTGACTTCCTACCCCTTTTGTACCAAGAAAAACAAGGTCAACTCGTGTACGAGGACCTACATTAGGCAAAGGAGTTCAGAAAAAAATAACTAGGAACAAAGGAGAGAAATTGCATGTGTATGTCAATCGGGTGTTGAATGCAATCACGGGAGGGAATGAAATCACAGTAGCTTCCTCATGTCAAATAGGACCTGTTGGGATAGACGGGATATATTTTAGCATGCTTAGGTAGGGAGTTGGCGTGAGAAACGCCGTAAACTTAGCCGGAAAAGGCCTTTTGGGGTCGAAAATTGAAAGCAGCCCCTGAACCACTCTATGGATGGCACAAGTAGCTTCCTCATGTCAAATAGGACCTGTGGGGATAGACGGGATGTACTTAGCACGCGTAGGTTAGGAGTTGGCGTGAGAAATGCCAAAAACTTAACTGAAAAGGCCTTTTGAGGCCAAAAATTGAAAGCAGCCCTCGAACCACTCTATGGATGGCACGAGTAGCTTCCTCATGTCAAATAGGACCTATGGGGATAGACGGGATGTATTTAGCATGCGTAGGTTGGGAGTTGGCATGAGAAACGCCATAAACTTAGCCAAAAAAGGCCTTTCGGGGCCGAAAATTGAAAGCAGCCCCCGACCCACTCTATGGATGGCACGAGTAGCTTCATCGTGTCAAATAGGACCTGTGGGGATAGACGGGATGTATTTGGCATGCGTAGGTTGGGAGTTAGCATGACAAACGCCATAAACTTAGCCGTAAAAGGCCTTTCGCGGCCGAAAATTGGAAGTAGCCCCCGACCCACTCTATGGATGCCATGAATAACTTCCTCGTGTCAAATAGGACCTATGGGGATAGACCAGATTTATTTAGCACGCGTAGGTTGGGAGTTGGCATGAAAAACGCCATAAACTTAGCCGACAAAGGCCTTTCAGGGCCAAAATTTTGAAGTAGCCCTCGAACCACTCTATGGATGTCACAGGTAGCTTCCTCATGTGAAACAGGACCTGTGGGGACATATGGGATGTAATTAGAACGCGTAGGTTTGGACTTGGCGTGAAAAAGGCCACAAACTTAGCCGAAAAAGCATTGCACGGCCGAAAATTCAAAGCAGCCCCCAATATGGTTTATTGTCCTTGCCTTAGAAGGGAACCAATAATCACTGGCCATACAAGTACTGCATTGAAAGATAACATTAAAAAAAACCCTCAAAGCAAAGAGGCTAAGCTCCAAAATTGTGCCTTTTTAGCCCCAAATTCGATGAACACTATTCATATAGCAATTATATGGAAAGCAATAATAGCATAATCTAGGTTTTTTCAAAGTTAAGTGACAGAGACTTTGTATATTTGAGCAATTCCACACAAAATTCAGCTTCTACGAAGATATTATGTTACCAAGTGAAAATTGCTTAATAGGAAGAAAAATAATACACCCTTTACAGTATCAATATCTATACAGGGATAATCTCATTACACAGAAAACGCCGCAGTGATCAAAACATTGTAACTAGAGTTTTAAATGTAATTTGCATTGTTTGAGCAGACCTTGACTCACTGATCCACATTAATTCCAAAAATACGGACCTTGTGCATGTGTGGGAACTTGGCAACCACCAACACAAAAACTGCCAGTTTGTTGAAGAATAGCATAGGGTGTTGGTAGTCAGTTGTGTGTGAGGCTATCAAGTACTTGCCCAATGAAACACAAGATGAGCATAAATTGATTATTAACAAGGTGAAATTTCTTGAGTTT